CAGCTTGAAGAAGAAGAGGCCCAGGGGTGACCTCATTGCAGTCTGTGACTTTCCTCACCAGGGGAAGAGATGGGACAGGTCCTGATCTCTTCACTCCTGTGACCAGTGACAGGGCTGGGGGAAATGGCAGGAAGCTGAATCAGGGGAGGTTTAGGGTGGATATCAGGAGAAGATTTTTCACCCAGAGGGTGGTTGAGCACTGGACCCAGCACCCCAGGGCAGTGGTCACAGCACCAAGGCTGCCCGAGTTCAAGAAGCGTTTGGGTGATGCTCTGAGGCACATGGTGTGATTTTTGGGATGCTCTGCACAAGGACAGGAGTTGGACTCTGATCCCAATGGGTCCTTTTCTAACTCAGCATATGCTATGATTCTGAGTGAGTGACTGGCACTTCTAAATGCTCTTACATGTTTGCTTCTTTGGATAGAAGCATTAGTTTGGAAAAACACCCCATAACCAATATAGGAGGAAAGGCAGTGTTCAGTGTGAAAGTTGTGTTTACTACATGACAGTGATGTTTGGTCTTAATTGCTTTCTAGTTGTTTGCTTTTAGGCCACAATTGTTTTCCCTTGTTTGTCCTCCTCTCTTTGTGTTTGCAATCCAAGTGAACCTATGCAATTAGCTATTTACATTAGTTAGAGGAGAATAGTGGTGGAACAAGGATCAGTTTCAGGGCAGGATTTGTGCAGTCTATGTGAAGTGGCTTGGCTTTTAATCTTGAAAAGATGCCAAAAGCATTTGATTGTTTTCTCTCAGGCCTTTGGACTTGGGGCCCCTTTGTGGCAGCAGAAAACCATGGTAAGGACAGCTCAGGGTTTACAGTTATATCTTATGCTGTGTGTGTCCTGAGAGATATATAGTCTTTTTTTTAATCTTGTTTGAAAAAGGATAAAATGTTAGAAGCATTTGTCTGCCAAGGGCTGGCTTAAGAGTTGCTAGTGTGAAAACACGTTTTCATGCCCAAGGATGACAGAATGAAGCTGCTTGTTTTTCATATAAAAGTAAATAGTTGCATTTAATTATGCCACTTCAGGTCTTCCATAGCAAGCAATAGGAAAAATATTGCTGCCAAAGCTCTCAATAAGCCTTTGACCCACAAGTCAACCTAAACCATGGGATGTCCTGCACATTGCTTTTAGCGTTTGTAAACTAAGCCACTTCCTATTAGAGTTCAGCTACAATGAACTTGCTGTTTGGTTTTTGTCTTCTTTTTCTTAAGTCCCTGGGGAAATTGGAGCTGTTTATTCAAATGCTGTATAATCTGTTTTCAGCTGTAACTGAATATAACATAATTGCTTTTCAGACTTCTTAAGCTTTTTCTAGCCTGTAAATTTAATGACGTAGGATTGTGAGGATCCAGTGCTTTGCTTTGTCATCTCTGTGTGTTGCTTTTTTAAGCGTGGCATTTCCTTCCCTTTGATAGCACTTGCATGGCACTGGTGTCATGCTGGCTGTCAGTATTGTCACTTCACCTGCTGCACGATATGTGAAAATTACTGAAGAGTTGTTGTTATGGGTGTGTTTGTCCTGGTGTGGCGGACCATGCTGTGCTGTGGGAATCACAGAATCGTCAGAGTTGGAAGGGGCCTTCAAGATCATCTAGATCCACCCCCCCTGCAAGGGCAGGGACACCTCCCACTAGACCGGGTTGCTCAGAGTCCCAGCTAACGTAGGTGAGAGAAGTGGAAAGCATTTGTGAGGAGAAATCTGGAAAGGTCCTTTTTGGAGTCTGTATGAGACAACAAAGGGCAAGAAAATTGTTTTTCAGAGGGCTCTCTTCCAGAGGAAGCGATCTGTTCATTTACCACTTCTGGAAGGAAATACACTGAATTTTACAACTGAGCAGGGTGCTATATGTTTTCCTTCAGAGTTACAGTACATTTGGACTAGTTTATCTAAAACCACGTGTGTGCAGCTTTTCTGGATCAATTTAAAGCAGATCATACGGAAGTAACCACAAAATCCACGTAACCATTTTTCAAATGATTTCCCAGAGCCAGTGTGTTGGTGAGTCTGCATGTGGGTCTGTGGGATGCTTTCCCAAGGGACTGCTGCCTGGGTCAATATTTTGAAGGAGGGATTTTAAAGAAGGGAATGAGAGCTGGAGAGTGTCCTGACAATTGGAAAGGCATGCTTCCATGCAACTTAAATTGTTTATTTGATTTGAAGTTTGGAATAGCTTCTTATTTCTTAGTTGGTTTTGTGGGTGCTTGCCTTCCATGACCTGATAGCCAGTGTTGTGCAGTGAAGTACAATGTACTGTGTGTCTCACACATGTTCTGTTGAAGTCACAGCTTTGCTTCCTATTTCAAATACATAGCATGAGTCAGTAGACATTAAATTAATGCCTGTCAGATGGTTACTTGGTGCTAATAAAAAGGCTGTCCCCCACTGTGAATTCATGAAGGTTACAGTAGTTTTTAACTTTTTGGAAGGCAACATTTTAGAACTTTGGAAAGCAGGACTTGGAAGGGAATTCATTCACTCTTAGCATGAGTCAGTAGACATTAAATTAATGCCTGTCAGATGGTTACTTGGTGCTAATAAAAAGGCTGTCCCCCACTGTGAATTCATGAAGGTTACAGTAGTTTTTAACTTTTTGGAAGGCAACATTTTAGAACTTTGGAAAGCAGGACTTGGAAGGGAATTCATTCACTCTTTTCACACTTTTTTTTTTGGTTTTGTTTTTTTTTTTTGTTTTTCTTCAGGAGAAGGGATAAGGTGCAGCTTTTTGGTCTGTTCAGGCCTTGCCCTTCAAAACATTGAGTTGGGTTGCTCTCATATAACTTGCCAATGTAAATGGTCTTTCTTCCTTTGTTCTGTCTTTTCCTATTAATTTTGAAATCCAACTGTGGCCTTAGCTTGTCCCAGCTTTCCTTCAGTGTGTGTGTTTTGTTTGTTTTGTTGTGTTTTGAAGACACCTCCATCTTGCTCACCCTCTTCTCTCTTCCTTCTCCAGCTCACAGCTGTTCACGGCAGGAATCCATTCCTTCTGTTATTCTTGCATACCTCCTGGGATCCTACCCATATTTCAGTTGTGTTTTAATTGAAATTTGCTTCTTTTCCACATACTTGTTTGCTTTTTTCTTAATCTGCCATTTCTCTTTACATTTGGTAGATTACCTCCCGAGTTAATTGCACTGAGAGATGTGAACACTCGTGACGTAGAAAATCTTAATCCCTTTCTTAGTGAAGAAGAACGTCTTGCATATTAAGATCTCATAATGCCTGGATTTCTTGTCTTTATCATAAATCTAACTCCTTTCTGTATGACAGAGGGAATAAATCAGCTTAAGTAAGCTTTGGGAAATTCCTCTTTTGCTAAAAATTGAGACATCTGATTTTTGATAGGGAAATAATTTCAACCCAAGGAATGATTGTGTGGGGTTCCTATGTTGACAATAAAATAACCCATACTTTTGTTTTGCTAGCTGGTATTCTAGTTGTGTTTCTGCCAATTTCAGTAGCACAGTCCTGCTTGAATGGAGCAGTTGTTTTAGGGACTTGCTGAGTGCTCTAGATCCAAGAACCCAAATGGCATTACTATGTGTTGTCATAATTTGTGGCAACAAAATATTTTTTTCTAATGCTGAAGTGTAACTTTTAAAAAAATTAAAGTGTCTCTAATTTTGTATTATTAACTTCTGTGGTTGACAGCTGCACTTAAAATTCCTTACTGCAGTGTGAGTGGAAAGGAGGAGAAATCTGTGTATTGAAGTTTCACCACAGAACAGCTAAACTGACTGTGGAGTCAACTGTCAAATGCACAAGATTCAGTCATTTCCAAAGAAATGTTCTCCTGTGGATGTAGGAGCTACTGTTCCCTTTCAGATGCTGCAGGCAGGTGGATTTTCCTTATAAGATACTTTGCAAGACATAAGCAAATTTTACTAAAGATATTTACACGCAGCGCATCCAAGATTGGTTTACATATGGGGGATGTGTAAGAAATGCTTGGTAATGAGATAATGCAGGGTATTTTTAGAAAGCTGTTAGATTATTTGTTCCTGCCTGCTGTCCCTGTCTTCTTCCTGTTTTCTGCGTTATTTCTTGCCTCTAATGTGCTGTTATTTCCTGAACTCACACCCCGTTTTATAAGTGTATTCTTCCATGTATAAACTTTGAGGCTTTCTATTGGGAAGTTGCTGAGTGTTTCTGATTTCCAGATTTATCTCATCAGCCTATTTTGCTTGTGGGTTACAATAAAAGACAGTCTTTTATCAAGTGCTAAAGTGACTCCTCCCCCACTAAAATTTAGTTAAGTTCTCCTTTTTTAAATTTGTCATTTTCCTAAGCACATTAAAAAATTGTCCTTTTTATTGTTTGAAAGCCCTGAAGACTGTTTTAAACTGATGAGTTAGGTTTTTGGTTGTTTTTTTTAAATGCCCTGCTGTTTTTTCTTAGGTTGTATGACTCGATTTGCTTTAGTCATTCATAAAGCATTGGCTTTCAAAAGCACCCATCAGCATTTTGGGAAGCCAGCCATGTTCTGAGGCACGTTCTCCAAGCGCTATTTTTGATGTGTAAGTAAGGATCTAATTTGATACTAGAGCCAAGCTTTTATTGCTGCAATTTATCATCCTCAGCATCTTGTACATCGCTTTCTGAAAAGCTTTTTCCTGCTTTTTAAAATGTATTTAAAGGGTGTGACTGTTCCCAGCAGGGAGGATTTAGGATGCAGAGGGGATTAGTAATGTAAAGACATGAGGAGAATTTAGCTGAGTATAAGGAAGTCTCTGTAACAGGCAGAACAGTTTGCTACAGAAACTAGCATATGGCTTTTGTAGAGGTCACTTTCATCCCTATTTTACCAAATGGGAAAAGTACTATGTTAAATAAATCATAGGTGGATAACTACTTTTAATCACTTGCCTGACTGGTGTGACACCACACTGCTCTCTTTTGTTCCTGCCCATCCCAAGAGAGATGTTGCTTTACAAGACTGGCAGAGTCCAGGCAGGCTGGAGTTCTTCAGGCCATTTCACCATGTTTTCAGTTACTTGTTGAAAGATCTTGAACTCCTCCATGACTACTTAAATGGTTTAGTAAACCTTCTGTCTTTATTAATGTTTCTAGTATCTTATCTTTAAACACAGATGTGTTACTGAAAGAAGTAACTCAGACTTGTAGCTTTATTTATTTCCTTATATTTCTTGTACAATTTGCTTAGTTGCATCCATAGCGGAACTTTCTAGTCTTGATTTCTGATCATCTGTGCGTGCTGATGTTGATTTGTTTCCCTCTCTTGTTGGTATTCACTTGGACTGCCAGGACTTGAATGTTACTGCTTCTCTCTTAAAAATAAATAAGTAATAGGAATTGTTCCATTCCCTTGTGTTCAGCATGATGCTTGAGTTTTCTAATGCTGCTTTTCATGTTTCTGTGTGTCTGCATAACATGTGCTGTGTCATCCTCACTCCCACATTATCAAGCATTTTCCCCTCTGTGTCATTGTTTTCCTTTAGAAGATAACATTTTCTTGGAAACATACCAGTGGCAGGTTTGAAGAATTTCTCAGAAATATGCAGATACTCTTCTTGCAGTTGCTCTTGGGTTTGTGTCTTCATTATACATACATGCATATAACAAGTTAGAGGGGGAGTGTCTTGAGGTGGTCTGGACTGCAGGTTCCGTGGAGCTGAGTCTCCCTGCAGGTTTTGATGGGTATGGAGCACTTAGGTATACTTTTTTTAAAACAAATGTTACTTAATACTCTATCACAGACATCTCACTGTTTTTTTCTGCCACAGGGCACAGCTGCATCCTGTTGCAGGAGTTCTGCAGCAGTCCTTGCTGCAGGGTATCCATGGCATCCTTTTCAGCAACCTTTCAGCTTCTTTCAGTAGTTACTATTTACAGCTTGATTGAGTCCCTTTTCCTCAAAGGAAGATGCTCTGTACACTCATGTACAACAGAAAAAAAAAGTTCAAATGGCTTTTTAGTGCCAAGTTTTATGTATGGGAAAGCATAGGTTTTACAAAAGAAGTGTAGTTACATCTACTGAATAATTTATTAGGTACGTTCATGCAATAAACTGAAGTTTGAACCTCTGGAAGCTAAACTTGGAAGAGTAACTGGGTGAAGTTCTAACTCCTGTTTGAATTCATGCTGTGCCCTCCCTTTTAAGTGAGCTAGTGCTAATTGACAGAAATACGGATTTCCTGAGAAAAGAGGGGAACATTAGTGAGAAAATAGTGCTATTTAGTTTGCTGAGAGTGACTGAAATGGTAAAGATCCTGGACTTAATCTCAGCGTTCTCTAGGAAAAAAAGCAGTTGGAGAGGAAGGAATACTTTGTGTTTACCTTCTTCATACTCCTAGTAGCCTGCTCTGTTAAAGAAATAGTACATCAGTATTTGGATATTAGGATCTGCAGAAATAATTCTGGTTTTCATTATGCCCCCGTGGTTCCATGATGTGCGTATGTACAGAGTAAGTGTTAGTATTAAAAACAGTCAAGAAAACTGGATCTGCTTGAAGGAACCCAACCAGACAGCCAAGAAAGACTCCAGCTTTCTTAAAAATCTAATTTCTGTTTGTAATAAGACAGAAATTCTGTGAGTGAAGACAGTGTTTAATTTGCCCCAAGGTTATCAGTGGATACCTGGGAGCATGCAGCAAAAGATTCTGGATAATTGTGATTCCTCTCATGTAACAGATTTCAAATGGATGTTGGAGGAGCGCTTGTGTCTCTGCTGAAAGCCTCTTCTTGCAAATTGGAGTGAAAACTTGTCTCAAGTGATGTTTGGTGGTCTGAAAGCTCTTGAAAAAGTCTGTGGAGAAACTTGGGAGCAGCAGTGCAGTGACATCCATAAAACATGCGGAGTGAGCCCTTTGGGAGGCTGCAGATTTATACCAGGGACACGTTCCAGTCCTACTGCCTGCCTGTCTGTCTCTGCAGCTCAGCTGGCTGTATGGGTGCTGTTTGCTTTTGTTATGCAAACTCTTTGCTGGTGTGTTTTTCCCTAGTGTGCATCTGGTAGTGTCTGTAGCCTGTCCCTCTCCAGGCATTGCTCAGCAGTGCTGTTAGTTCCACAGAGGACAAAGCTTGAGAAGCTGAGTCGCTTCCCCAGCTGTTGGCTGCTCTGGGAAATAGTTTAATTGTGTTTCTGCGTGCACAGCTTCACCAGTATCTGGTGAGGGCAACTGGGACTTGCTTTGTTTATTTTGAGGATTTTCCAGGAGATGAAAGTGTACTAAGTGAACATGTTAATGAAACAAGGTAATTTCCTTTCTGTTAGCATAGCAAACTAATGATGATTTCCTGGTTATGGGATGGTGTTCTGGACCCTTGCTTGTTCCTTGCATTAGGAATTGTGATTACTTGGGAGAAGAGTTGCAATCCAACTGGGTAAACAGCAGAAACACCAACACCTCCCTCTTGTTAACAGGCACATTCTGAGCTTCCAGACAGAAAAATGGAGGTGGAGAGATCTGAGAAGCATAGGTGCCCATAGGAAATGGGCTGTAGCCACCTAGCATCCCTGTGGATTTGGCACCAAGTGTGCTGCTGCAGGGCGAGTGTCAGAGGGTGGAGTTAAATGGCCCATTTCCAAGGGCTAGTTGCCTGTCCCATGGATGTTGCTTAGCCAGCAAGTTTGTCTTCACTGTGTTCTGGTGCACATAAGAGCATCTGACTGTTGCTGGATGAATTCTGCATTTGCTTGATTTCCCTGACTCTAAAATGTGTATGTAGAGAAAAAAAGAAAACAAAACATTTTAAGAACGTGGATGTGTATGTATTATGGCAACTTTCAACACTGGGTGGTGGTGGTTAGGACAAGCAAAAGCAAAACCATTCCTTAAGGCTACCTTAAACAACTTTCTCCTTACTAGATGTGAATCATCTGATAAACTTGTGCTATTTTAACATGTTGAGTCTTGCACATAATGTTACCTGTATTTTTTTTAAGAGTTCTTGGTGACTTTTTAATCTGCCTCCTCTTGATACTACTGAATGTGGGACTTCAGTCTGTGAGGACAGCTATTTGTCTGAGAAGGGGAAGCCAGATTCTATTCCCTGTCTTGATGGGTAGAGAATTAAAAATGTCATAAGAATACCTATTTCACTGTCAGCACTTTTGGAGAGGGAGACATCTCTCCTGTTAGGAATAATCTGCGTTGTATTGGCATCATTGTCAATTCCATGTGCTGAAAGATACGAAGATTGTTTTAAATTCCTCTAGTCTGTGATACTTTTCTTTTTTAAGATGAGGAAATTTTCAGTCATGTTTATTTGGGGCTCTTTTTTTTTTTTTTTAAGCATGGTGTTCAGTACTTTAAAAAAAATGGTGTTTGAAACTAAGCTTTTTTCTTCCTTCCTCTTCTGAAAGGAGTGAGCAAGGAGTCCGTGTGGGGATGTGACAGGGATGGTTTGCATGGGAATGTCTGGAAGCCTAACTGTCACTTTGGCAGAATGGAGTATTTACCCCTGAAGATGCTCCTCACAGCTTTCCTAACGGTGGAGCTGCGGAGGAAGTGTGCTGAAATCTGGAAAGAAGTCAGTTGGCTCAGACTCCTTGGGTTGTAAGGCAGGGTTATAAAGCCTGGCACTGGCCTCGTGTAGTCTTGGCAACTGGCTGTGGCTTGGATAGGAAGTAGGTGAGTTAATCACACATACTCCTTATAAAGTAGAGGCCTCCTGGTTACCAAGTGTGGTGTTAGCTTTGGGAAGAATAATTTCTTAGGAACCCTTTTAAACTTTCACCCTTTTAAACTTCTAGTTTTCTGATTTCAGTGCTTCACTCTAGGTATAGAAGACAACTGAGGTTATTCTTGTGTCTCATACTACTAGCTTCATAGGGCAACTTCAGCTCTGTGCCATTGATCTAAGTATTTTCACTTACTGTTTCCTACAATAGGGTGTATAAATAGTAAACAGTGTTTATTCTGTTTCTGTAGGAACGATCATGTGTCTGTGGAAAACTTTCCAGTCAGTGCCACTGATTCTTCCCTAAAAAAAAACGCAACAAAAACCGACAAAGAAGCAAAGCAAAACAAACCCCCTGGGCCTGGAATTGCTTTTTACCCGCTGCTATACCTTTTGGGAGAGCAGTTGTGTTGTGTGAGGAGATAGCAGCTCTTCACTCTTGCCCAGATGAGCTGTTTGGATTTGCTTTGAGATCTTGGCAGAGTCTGTGTTTCTCTCCATGTGCAGAGAATTGCACTTCTTGCAGCTTAATATTTGTGAAAGTTATTGTTGTTTGATGGGTGTGCTCTTTAGAAGCATGGTGCTTTTATTAGTGTTCAGGATAACATAGTGACTGTATCTGAAGAATTTACAGAGAAACTTTTTCCAGGGTGAGAGCTATCAGCTTGTGCTCGAAGAGTCCCTGCTTACCCATTTGGTTGTTGAATTTTTAACTCTTGGACTGTAGTGAGCGGCCTTCAAATACCTCTGAATGTTGAGCTGTAGCCCAGCATTGTACTATCCCAGAGCACTTCAGAATTCAGTCTTGTGAATTTGAGTTGGCTGGACTGATGGCATCCTGACTCATTTCAAACCATAGCCTGCTCTGTTCAAGGGGTCTTATGGTCATCTTCATGGGATGTAGTATCAGGAAGTAGACCACCATTTGCAAAATTGTCTGCAGCTATTGAATAGCTGCCCCTGGAGTCTCTCATTCTGTGCTCATTTCTCTGGCCCATTGCACCTCTAACCTCTGAGCATGAGATTGAAGCTTACTTGGCTGTCTTTCTCTGTGCTAAGTTGGTGGTTACTTTATTTGTCTTCAGACCTGCTGCATGATGCATCAAAGGAACACAAGTTTGTGAAATGCTTGTTTCCTAAATTCTTACATTGGCTTTGTTACCTCCACGTTGAAGTGAGCTGACTAAGACAAACTTATTTTAATGAGTGGGAATTTAAATGGGAAAGAATGGACTTTTTGGTATGGTAAGAGATGAAGAAAGTAATGCCTGGCTTATACACTGTCATCTTCAGAACAGAAATGTTGTGTCTACTCCATTTTATAAACAGAAATGCTCAAGCTAAAGCTTGAGAGTGCAGATTTTGGACTTGTACACCTTCATTTTACTTGCTGTCCTTCTGATGTTCTAATTGTTGAAGAGAAAAAGCGTTTAAATGCTGCAACTATTGATTTGGTTTCCAAAAGCGTAGCTTGACCTTTTAATTTCTATGTTAACATGTTGACTATTGGAAGCTAACATGATTGTACTCTGATGTGTCTGTTCTTGGTAAGATGTTATCATTTAAGCTCCATATTATTGTTTGAAGGCTTGAAATGTTTGCTTTTCTGGAATGTGGTTCTTGCCTTACGGTGTTTCTGTATATCAGGTTTTAAAAAGAGGACAGCAGGAGAAAGGAGACAAGGAGGTACAGAACTAAAGCTTGAGGACTTCTCTGATAAATTTATGCTCTGGCCTTTGGCCATGAGTTGCTGCCTCAGATTCCTTTTCTCTAACAAGGCATTAAAGATGCCTTCTTCAAAGATACTGTGTGAAGATTAATGCTTGCAAAGGCCTTGGAAGATGAAAAAGCAGGAGTTGAAGTATGAAAAGTTTCCATGCCCCAGGTAAATATTCTGTGTATTGTCTTGAATTTGGCTTTTTCAGAATCTCTTGATTCTGTAATATTTGAGTGCTTTCAAATATTTTTAAGAGTTTACTTCAGTTGGGCAATGCTTTTGTGAGAGTAATTGAAGAAAGAAGTTGGTTGCTTGCATGTTTCCCCGAGGAAAGAAAGGAAGAATGATGATAGCCCACAGCTTCAGCATTATATACCAGTTAGATGAATATAGGTGGCAGCTACACACTGCAAATGGTGCCACTGCAGCATTTTGTGTTTATTTTTCCCCAGGGCGAGTTTCTGTCCTTTCCAGTGTTTGATAAACCAGTCCACTGATGAGCCCTGTATGATTCATGGGAATTGAAGCACTGTGTTCTTGAGCTTACAAAGTAGCCTGAAACACATGGGATGAGCAGTGCTCCCTATGCTTTTCATAAAGTTTGAATGCCTGTGATATTTTAAGATGTCATTTTCTTGTAAAACATGTCAGTTTGGTGTGTGATGTCAGTTTGGTGTGCAGGGGAAAAAAAGTTTTCTGATTCTCACATCTTCAGAGTGGTGTCTCCTTTTCTCCTTCTTCCATGTTGCCAATGGCATACTAATCACATGCTTTATAAGCCTTGCATTAGTTTAAGATCCTGTAATAAACTGAGTGACTTATGGGATAACTTGGCTTGGTTTTGCTCACTTGAGGAATTAGAGGAAGACTTTGGAGCACTGTCAGTATTGTAGTCGTTTAGGTTGTGCTGCAGCTGCAAAATGGAGAGGTTGGCAGCCTGGATGGAAGCGGGATTTGGGCTCTGATCTGCATCCCAATGTTTGATTGTAATTATGCTGGATTCAGGGCAAGGGGCTTTGCTTGTCAGTTTGAGCTGCCAAGGTTAAAGTGTGCTGCTTTCCTGAAGTTACCAAGAAGCTTATCAGTTTAGGCTGAATGTTGAGCTGCTGTGGTTGTAGAAGATGGGCCAATGCTGCCTTGGAAGCTGAGTGGTCTGAGCAGGATGCCTGAAAAATTCTCCTTTCCTCTGGAAACATAATCTTACCAGAGTAAGACAGAACAGCCTGCAGAATCCACACCGTTAAAACCTCTCCCTGTCATCAGATGACTGGATAAAATTACAGCTTTGGAGGAATTTTGTTGTTCTTGCTTGCAAGCAAGTTGTGAGGTCTTTGTGAGGCCAAGTGCCATGTGGGCTTCTGACAGTGGGAGGCCCTTCTTGTGGCTCAGAGGTGTGTGCTCCTCCAGGCTTCCAGACTCATCCCAGCTCAGTGAGTCAATCGCTTTAAACACATCTCCTGATTTGGTGCTAGGTCGAACTGCATCTGGCACTGCTGTAGCTGTACTTACCTATAAAAATAGAAGGTCCTAATTTGCTAGAAATGTTGGATGTGGGATTGAAGGGAGCAAAACGTCCTTGGAATTGGTAGAATTTTTTGGGAAATGAGTTCTTCTTGGAAGAGTAGAAACGGGTTGTGACAAATAGTGGGAATAATGCAACATGTTCCTGGTTTCATGACATTTTTATGTCCAAGGAAAATGGGATCTCCAGTGTGGCTTTTCTGAGGGTTTCTCTGTCCCCTTTCACTTCTGCATTAATGTGATGTTTTGAAATTGAGGGAGAGTTTAGAGGCTCTTAACAGAGAAAGGCAGGTGCTTGGAGCATTTTAAAACATCAGAAGAAATGGCTCAAATATCTAATTTTGTCATGGAATATGATGAAAATATAATTCTTGGTCAGGACATCCATTATTGTGTGTAGTGTTGGCCACCAGACCGCTCTT